TTAATAAACTACAAAATTTCAAAAGGCAATTAATTCTACAGCAAATAGATACTGAATTATTTACCCATGGTTGCTCCGCCGTCGCCTGATGCCTCCCAGGCCTCCTCCTCCTCTCAGATTCCTTCATTGCACACACATACAACACAAACACAACATTTGCAACGGTTAATTACGGCACATGTGAATTCATCATCCAACTAAGATAATCACGCGACACTTTACACGGCACTCCCGATAATTGAAAGTAACGTGAATTTCATTACTTCCCATCCAATGCACAGCAGCAAAGTTTGTAGTAAAACTGCATTAATCTACAACACACAAGTATATGCAAATATTAAAGTAGCGCCGAAAATAAATAATATTATTAAAATATTGCATGTATTTTTATTTGCCTTTTCCGACAAGTAGAAATATTTAATAAATAAACTATAAATCTCTAAAAGACAATAATAAATGATTTTTTATTAAAAGACAGTTTCAATTCCCACAGATAGAAAATAAATAAATAATAAATTACTCACCTATACGGTTGCTCTGCTATTGTCCAATACCTCTTACAGACCCCTCCTCCTCTCAGATTAATTCTTCATTGCACATACCTACTTACATACAACACAACACATTTCGACGGTTAATTACAATGTATACGAATTTATCGTCCAATTTCTGAATACGACGAACAACGCAGTACGTCACACGGCGATTACGAGAATAACGCGATTTTCATTAAGCGTAATTTATATTAAACCGCGACATTCCACATACTAACACAACAGGCAAATCTAAGACGGTGAAATTTGGAAATCATACAACTTCAAACTTCGTCCATTGTGACAATTTTCATCTCGATTTTCATTACGACCAACTACGAGCAATCCGAGCGATTGACAAACATAATCATATTTCTGCATATTACCTTATCTGGGTGTTTCACGTATGATACACGTGATGTATCATTTCCTTGTTGTTCATCGAATATAAGAAGGATAAAATAACATATCATGCGCATCATGCGTGAAACGAGATGCACGACGTTCATGTCCAAAAGTATGGTTAGGTTGGCGGATCGCTCGGGCGATAAATCCGGAACTATATACGCGTGAATTGCGTGCTTTCGACAAACGATCGATCCATAAACACTAAGTTCGTACTACGCGATAGACGATCATCGCAGAATTAATTGGGATATTTACTAAACGCGACGCCATTTGACCCGAAATTGATCGAAGCACTTCACTATCCTTCCGCGGCGTCCGCGACGTCCCGCCCAAAGTGACGTGATGGCGAAAGATGCGAAACTGTCGCGGCAAACTTCACGGAGTTCACGGTAATATCGCGCGAGTCACAGATTTGGTCGCGTTGCTTGCCTGCACTTTCTTTGTGCTTGTACATACTTAGAATCTTCGCTTTCTTTCTCCTTAATGCTCAAATATGGTCTTGTTTTAAAAATCTTGTCGGAAAAATTTTGTGAAATTGTGAACAGTTTCAATGGGTGCGTTCGGTTTTTCACGCAATACGTGAAACAAAACGCTCTCACTGTTGACGACGTTGTCATGGATACAATCCTGCGATCCGATCAACTCAATTTCACTGTCGGAAGAATCGCAAGAAATTATAGGTTTGAAACTCGATGTCACACACACGGCAATTCGAACGTAAGTACTGCGAAGTACGTTTCTGGCGAAAATAAAAATCGAAACTTAAGTCGAATATAAGAGGGGAGAGGAGGGGGGGGGGATTTACTTTTCATTGTTCGAGCTTTCGCCCCCTAGAAACTTCGTTCGTGCTTCTTTCAACCTTCATTTGACTTAAATTCCGTTATATTTTTATTTCTGCCAAGAATATTATGTGTCACACAATAAACTACGGTGACGTATCTATTTATTAACTAAATTTCAGAGAACTATACAAAAGGTGTCTGATTACGAGTTCAAATTATCATTGAAGGTAATAATTATTGCACGCAAGCAAAATAATTTACTACTTGCTCCGCGTGGAACTGGAAATTGTATATAAATTCAAAAATATTATTAGCACGAAAATCCGCCTTAACCAAATATGCCTTAATCAAATGCGACGTTTTCCTATATCTATAATATTTTACTATTCCTTCAGTGCATCGCGCGAAACATCCACGACGATTTGCGGATACCCTGTCGATATATTCACGAGTTGTCAGCTACAGGAGTTAAGTAATCGCATAACGTGCGGTCTAACCGTTTGCCTATTCGTAAAGAACAATCGGCGTCTTGTAACACTCGACGGGTCGCGTCACTCGCGTCTTAAAACATAATGGCACACAGAACAGAGCACCTCGCGCCGTTAATCTGTTGGGGGGCGGGGGGGGGGAAGGGCGTTGGGTAGAGCCTCGGGGGGCTCGGGAATAACAACACTGCTTACAACGGCGACGCACTGCTACGATACGGAAAAACAAAAAAAACACAAACATCGAACGTCGTGTAAAACCGCTCTACGTCGTCGCGAAAAAACAAATATGAAATAATACCCGTTGAGCGTATACTCCGTTATTTGTACTATTTAATCTAAAGCGTTACGCGAGATTACATTCGAATACGAGCAATGTTAAACAAGCGATTATAAAGTGTGAGGATATCGAGGGAGAATATATTGCTTTGAAAAATAATTTACAATTTCTTTGAAAGTGAATAAACCACGCGAGATATCTGCTTAACTTCTAGGGATCAGTCATGTAACTTTCTCTAGAGCGGAAATGTGAATAAAATCTTTTGTATATATGTACATAACGTAAAAAT